ATTTCCTCCCATTGTTCCCGCCCCGCGTCCGGGAATTCTCCGCGGCGGTGGGCTGGGCGGGCGGCGAGGGAGGCAGAGGAGGGTGGGCTGCTCTGTCCTCAGCATTCCGCTCGCTCAGGCTGCCGCTCCCAGGTCGCACCGCCAGGCCCGCCAGCCATCCGCTCCCCTGCCCGCCCTGCCGCCCTGGGAATCTGGGGACCAAATTTGTCAACCAGAAAATAATGCACGAGGCTGCAAATAAGAAAGTAGTTTATTTGGGATTTTAAGAATTGCTTTTCAGGGGGCTTCCCTGGTGGCTCAGTAGTAGGGAATCTGCCTGCCAGTGCAGGGGACACAGGGTTGGATCCCTGATCTGGTAAGATCCCACATGCCTTGGGACAGCTAAGTCTGTGGTCACAACTACTGAGCCTGTGCTCTAGAGCGTGGGGGCCACAACTGCTGAAGCCCATGTCCTGCACCCTTGGGCCAGTGCCCCACAACTGGGGAGTAGCCCCCGCTCACCACAACTAGAAAAAGGCCACAGCTAGAGAAAAGCTGAGCAGCAATGAAGACCTAGCATTGCCAAAAATAAATAAATAAACATTAAATATGGGAGACACAAATTCAGGTACCTGTGAAAGTATTGGGAGAAAGAAGGGCTTATAAAGACAAAAGCCTGGAGGTTGTTAAAAGTTGCCTAGAGAGAGTTGTGATTGACTTCGACAATATTTGTGCTTTAAGTATTACAAGTTGTTTCAGGGTAGGGGTCTGACAGATGGGTAGACTCTGAGTTATTTTAGGGTAAAGGGTTCTGGATGACTTCATCAGGTCAAAAGGTCATATTAAATCCAGGCTGAGCCATATATGAATCACACTTCATTAATGACCTTCCAACTCCACCTTATAGAGCTCTCTTAGCCATACCAACTCTATTTCACAAGTTCTAGGGCAGGGTCTGCCATCTGCCATCTGCCTGCTCAAGCAAGTCCCTCCTTTCTGCTGCCCTAGGTTTCCAGTGTCACATTGTTACCCAGAAACTGGGTTTGCCTCTTAGTGGGTATCGAGCCAAAAGACACAACCGAGTCAAAGATAGGGAGAAGGAAGGATTTATTTCTTGCAGCAAGTAAGGAGAACATAGGGAACGTTTCCCAAAGCAGTGTCTCCCCAAACAGCAGAATTGGGGAAGTTTTAAGCTAAAGGGTATATGCATATTCATGAAAGGGTCTGGGCAGTAGGCAGAGTCCAAGTTTTAGTTGATTGAAGGACTGAGGGTCAGAAAAGGTCAACAGCGTTATCCCTTATATTCTAGCTGACCCAGTTGTTGCTGTTATTTAATCTCTATGTTGTGTCTGACTCTTTTGCAACCCCATGGACTGTAGCCCGCCAGGCTCCTCTGTCCACGAAATTTCTCAAGGAGGAATACTGGAGTGGATTGCCATTTCCTTCTCCAGGGGATCTTTCCGATGCAGGGATCGAACTTTCCTGCTCTGCTCTGCAAAGGAGGATAAGACAAACTGCTGCAGGAAGGGGGACCGCCTCCAGGGCCCAATAGTGGGCTCTTGTCTAACACGTGGAAATGAAGTGTCCCAGGAGACATGTGCTGACAAAGCAAGAGATTTTATTGGGAAGGGCTCCTGGGTGGAGAGCAGCGGGTGAGGGGGCCCAGGAGATCTTCTCTGCCACGTGGCTCACTCTCGGGTTTTTCCCGGGTGTCTCTGGCTAATCAGTCTGTCCAGGGTCCTTCCTGCTGGTGACGTTTGCATCATTCAGCCAAGGTGGAGTCCGCTGAGAAGGATCCTGGGAGGCTGGTAGGACATACAGACTGGCATCTCCTCTCTTCTTTTGACTTTTCTCTAATTCTTCTGGTTGGTGGTGTTTCTTACCAGGACCTCCTGTTTTGTAAGATGACTCATGCCAAGTGGTTACTGTCAGGCCTGGCCAGGGTAGTCGGTTTCAGTCAGTGGTTCCCCTAACGAAACCAGTCTGAATTCTAGAAAATGTGCTTCCTAGCATCCCGAGTGGTCTTAGAACTCTGGAATGGATATTAGCAAACACCTCTCCCTTTAGCTCTGTTGAAACACAGAATTGAACCAAGTAAATCTGGAGATGTAATTGGTTCTATTCAATGACTCATGAATTGACTGGGCTTCCTTGGTGGCTCAGATGGTAGAGAGTCCACCTGCAATGCAGGAGACCTGGCTTTCATCCCTCGGTCAGGAAGATCCCGGGAGAAGGTAATGTCTACCCACTCCAGTATTCTTGTGTGGAGACTTCCATGGACAGAGGAGCCTGGGAGGCTATAGTTCATGGGGTCGCAAAGAGTCGGACATGACTGTCTAATTCTTTCAGTATCATGACTTATGAATTTAGAGCAACTGGAAAGGTGCTCCAAGGGGTTGTACAAAATGGAAAGTTTTATAGGCAGAAGGCGGATGGGGCAGGAAGATATTAACTAAAGAAAATAAAGGGTTATTTTAAAGCCAGGACATCAACTTTTTGGGAGTTGAGAAGGGATCAGGCAAGGGTTTACATGCTGATTACCTCATCTTCCACTGGCTGGGGTGGGAGTGGGGTGGAGCGGGTCCACATGTCCATTTTGGTGCTTGACCAGAATATTCCAGACTGGCCTATTAAGGTTACATTTCTGGGAAAAGTTGAAACTGCAATTAGACCCATAATTAAATCTAGGTTTTGTACTATGGGCTTTAGCATGAGTGACACCATTTTGAGCCAGTGGTTTTCTTTTTTACAGCCTCTTCTGTAAAGAAATGTTAGAAAAATTGGTCTTGAATAAATATCAGGCTGGGCTTTCCTGGTGGCTCAGTGGTAAAGAGTCCACCTGCAATGCATGAGCTGCAAGAGTTGTGGATTTGATCCTTGAGTTGGAAAGATCCCCTACAGGAGGGCATGGCAACCCATTCCAGGATTCTTGCCTGGAGAATCCCGTGGACAGAGGAGCCTGGCAGGCTATAGTCCATAGGTTCACAAAGGGTCAGACACAACTGAAGCTATTTAGCATGTGCACACGCATGTATGTGTCAGGCTTATTGCCTTGCTAACAAAGAAACTTGCAGAGCAACTAAGAGTCTGCTGGTTCCAAGAGGGATGGAGATAAAGGAAATTTATTGCCAAGAAACTTACACAAACAGCTAGTTTTTAAAATTTATTTTTATCATGATAAAACATACATAACAAAACTTAGCATTTAACCATTTTGATGTTCAGTGGTGTTAAGTACATTTACAATTTGTACGACCATTGCCGTTATCTATCTCCAGAACTTCTCATCTTCCTCAGATTGAAACTCTGTACCCCCTAAATAATAACCCCCTCTTTCCTCATCCCCCACCCCACATAACCACTAATCTGCTTTCTGTCCCTATGAATTTAACCACTCTAGGTCACCATACAATATTTGTCTTTATGTGTCTGTCTTATTTCACTTGGCATGATATCTCCAAGGTTCATCCATGTTGTAGCAAGTGTCAGAACTTTCCTCCTCTTTAAGATTCAATAATATTCCATTGTATACATTTACTATGTTTTGTTTACCTATTCATCTATTGTTACACACTTGGGTTGCTTCCACCTTTTGGCAGTTGTGAATAACACTGTTATGAACTTGGGTGTACAAGTATCTCTTTGAGTCCCTGATTTAAGTTCTTTTGGGTATTTACTCAGAAGAGGAATTGCTAAATCATATGGTAATTCTATGTTTAACCTTTTGAGGAACTACCATGCTGTTTTCCATAGTTGCTGCATCATTTTCCATTCCAACCAGTGTTTCAATTTCTCAACACAAGGGTTTCAGGTTCTCAACATCCTTGCCAACATTTGTTGTTTTCTGTTTCTTTTTTTTTAACTTTTTATTTTATATTGAAGTATAGCCAATTAATAATGTTGTGGTAGTTTCAGGCAGACAGCAAAGGGACTCAGCCGTCCATGTACATGTCTCCCTTCTCTGATTTCTGTTTCTTGCTAGTAGTAGTGAATGTGAAGTGCTCATCATTGTGAACAGCCAGTTTTAACAATTAGTTAATTAGGTCAAGGTGGAAGTTTTATTTCATAAGTCATAAAAATTTATATTCAAATCAGTTGTTATAGACACCAGAAAAATGGAGGTCCCAGATAACAGGTGTGCTATTTATCCATCAGGAAAAAAATTATGAAGCAAATGATGAAAGTACATCTGTGACTGGTCGTTGTTCACGTTCTGACAGTAAGGTGCAGGAATCATGCCCAAGTTCAATGTAGACACAGCCACAGTTCTGACTGACAGAGGCCACTTGCTGCTCTGATTTCCTCACTGCTGCAGAACACATTTTGCTCACTTTTTGGCTTAGAGACACAACCTTTTCCCTTGGCCCCCTTTGAAGGGTCCCTTCGCTGGTCATCAAGTGACGACCTTCTCTTTCCTAAGAGACCATCCGTTTATGGGCCCTCTCCCCTTAGTCAGGTATGGCCTCCCGTGTGTGGGTGATAGTTCTGGGCCTCTTTGGGAGTGGGGCAGACTTCCCTGTCCCAACTTTCCTCTCTCCCCGCCCCTGAAGATAGGAGGGTCTGTGTATTTTCCCTTCACCCTCATTGCTGGCCCGGCTCAGGGACACTAGGTAGCTCTGTGTAGTGGCGGGTCAGGGGAGCTGTGGAGGGAGAGGAGGATGCAGGCGTGCTTCTAGGAGGGGCTGCTCTGGGGGACTGTTTAGGTCTGATGGGCAGGACAACCCAGGCACATGGGGTGGTGAGGTTGGGCATCTGGGGAGGGGGAGAAGGGGTCAAAGTTGACCTTGGGGGAAAGGAAAGTGTCTCTTATTCTTCTGGTGCCCAGAGAGGGGCCTGGCCTTCCAGGCTTGGTGATGGGGTATCTGCGGCAGACTGCCAGGGAAGTCTTGAGGGTTCCTAGGTGTTCTAGGCAGATCAGCCTGTCCATGGGTTGTCTGAGAGGTGGCAGTGGTGAAGGGTATTCGGAAGAAGAACTGGGTGCATTTGTCTGCTTTTTACTTTCTACTTTTCTCTCTCCTCAGATTCCTGGGGGAAGCCAACATCCCCCTCCGGGAAGTCCTCGCCACCCCCAGCCTGTCTGCCAGCTTCAATGCCCCACTGCTGGACACCAAGAAGCAGCCCACAGGGGTAAGTGTCCCCTGGCCTCAGTATCCGGCCCGTTTCTGTCAGAGGCCTTGATCTCTGACCCCAGTCATGTGTCAAGGTCCAGCCTCCAGCACCCAGGCCTAGCCCACCCTGATTGAAGCTCCAGGTGCTCAGCAGGGGCCCAGGGGTGGCTCGGATGGGAGGGGCAGAAGTGGGAGCTGGGCCCCCCAGCAGGGCTCAAGCCAGCCTTGCCTCACACCAGTCTGCCCCCGGTCACCTCCTGGGACTGATGTTTCACTGGAAACCTGATGCCTTCCCAAGCTTCCTGGTAGTCCTTCCTTACCATCCAGGCCCTTCTCCGGGTCTGGAATAGCTGAGTCATCTGGGTCACAGATCACAGTGGGAGGGAGGAAGACATCCCCCTCCCCTGCCCGCCAGGACCGGTCAGACCCCCTTCCCTTCCTCCACGGTTCTTCCTGCTCCTCCCCCAGCCTTCCCAGCGTTCTAGCCCTCCCAGACAATTCCCAGCCCTCATCCCCGGCCTTCCGTTATTTTTAGTGAGCTAAATATACCCTGCGGGGTCCTTTCTTCATGGTCAGTAGAATTCCTGACCTTCCGTCTGGGTCAGCCCCACCTCCCAGGACACACTGGGGAGTCTATCAGTTTGGAAATACTTCCTCTCAGTGGGGTTCTGGGGAGCCTCTCAGAGTGTGGCCACCTTGCCCGAGTGTGTGTGTGTGTGTGTGTGTGAGGTTGGCGGCTCTTGGCTGGCTTGGTGAGTCAGGACGTGGCCGGGCCGGGCAGAGCTCTAGAGAGTGGAAGCACCGCTTGGAACTGGGAGCCGGAAGAAGAGAGTGAGTGAAGTCACACGGTGAACTGGTGTCCAGGTGGGGACACGGATCAGGGGGTGTGTCTCCCGACTCTCAGCGGTCGAAGGGACTTGAGTGGACTCTGGGGTCACTGCCCTTCTGATGCTGGAGTTTCCCCCGACCTCTCAGGCTCCTCAAGGCTGGGATTCTTTGATGGGGAAATGTCTCTTGGAGAACCCATCCCTTTCTCAGACAGTGCTCACTGGTAGAACATTCTGGTTCGTGCAGGATGCATCACCGGCTGAATCCCTTTTGTTCTCCCTTGGAGCTCTTCAGGAAGGGCTCTGGGACTTCTGAGACTTCTGAGCTGCCCCTCCTGGGGATCCTGAAGACGGCCAGGGCAGGCTCCAGAGACGCAGAGCACTGATGGAGGGGTCAAGGAGGGCATCGAGGCAGCAGGGGACACAGGTGTTTGGAGTCAGGGGATCTGCTTGGTGCTTTTCTCCTGCTCTCAGGGAGGGGGGCTGCCTATTTTGCCATGTGTCAGGCCCCCAATGCCTCCAACCAGAGTCTTTCGCTTCCTGACTGAGCTGCTCAAACCTCTCTTCTCTCACACCCTCTGTGCATCTGTGACATTGGTGCTTCCTGCCAGCCTGCCCGCCCCTGCTCCCCTCCAAGCTCAAAGGCCCACCCAGCCCCTGAGACACCCGACCCTGGGGCAGAGCCTGGCTGTGACTCCCCGGCTGCCTCACCTCTCCTCCTCTCACTGTGTTCCTGCACTGTCTGCACTTCCCAAGCAGCAGCATTAGGGAGCTGACTGCCTTCTCTTCCCTGGGCTGGGACTCCTGGCTGTCTGCAGAGCTTGCCACTCCGTCCCAGACCATGTCTCCAAGAAGGGGTGTGAGAGCCAGAAGGTGACGGGTGGGAGTGGAACACGGGCTCCGGGAGGTGGGATAAACTAGGTTCCTGGACCCACCTCCAATGTGTGTGTGTGTGGAGGCTTCTCCATGCCAATCAGCAATGCCTGGATACCAGCTGGGTAGCGATGATTCAACTCAATTCTGACACCATCTACCTGGCTATAGCAGCAGATCCCGCGGGTTACAGGCTCATCCTGCCCCCCGCCCCCTTTCAGATACTAGTGGCAAGCCCAGGCTGTTACCTGTGCTTCTAACCAACTGGCTATAGATCAGAGGTTCCCAGGACCTCTCCTCAGGCTCAGTGAATTTGCTAAAGTGGCTTACAGAACTCAGGGAAACATTTTACTTGCTAGATTATGGGTTTATTATAAAAGGATATATCTAAGGAATAGCCAGACAGAAGAGACACACAGGGTAAGGTCTGGGGAAGAGCACAGAGCTTCATGGTCTCTCCAGGAGCACCACACTCCCCAGTCTCCACCCAGAAGCTCCCTGAATCACATCCTTTTGGGGTTTCATCGCATAGGCATGATTGATTAAATCAGTGGCCATCAGTGATTGATTCAACCTCCAGCCCCTCTCTCATCCTTGGAGGTTAGGGGCAGGACTGAAATTACCACCCTCCAGTCACAGGTTTGGTCCTCCTGGCCATCAGCTCCATCCTCAGATGAGGTCCAGAAGTCACTGCATTAACATAACAAGAGATACCTTTGTCACTGTCAACACTTAGGAAATTCCAAGAGCTTGGGGAGCTGTAAGCCAGGAAATGTGGACAAAGACCAACTATATATGAAAAATATACTTTGGTCATCTCAATGACTCAATCAATATATGTCTTATAAATCACGGTATAGCCTGGGACCTCCTTCCCTTCAGCCCAGGAGGTGGCTCTGGCCTGTGGAGAGGGCCCAGGACTAACCTCGAGCCCCTGTGATAAGGCTGAGTTCCACTGCAGCCCCAGGCAGGTCCAGAGACCCTCTGAGCTGGGACTCCCCACCTGGGGCCTGGGGCTGGTTGCATGGGAATCAGGAGGACACACAGCAGGGGATTTGCTCGGAGGGACAGAGAGCCCTGTCATGAGCTGTGGATTCTCACTGGCCATTTTCTGAGGCCGCTTTCTGGGCTGAGTCTGGTGGGCAGAGCTCGGTGGGCATCCCCAGTTAGCTGTAGCTCAGATGACCTCAGAGGGCCAAAGGAAGCTGCTAATGGTGTGATGGGAGATTGTGATGCTGACTGTGGGATCCTTAGGAAACCCCGCAGGACTGAGGAGGAGGAGGGGGGGCCTTCAGTGGGCTGGCCTGTGGCCTCCACCTGCCTATCATTCTCACCCAAGTCCCTCCCGATGTGGCACATGGGGCTGCCTGCCATGAGAAGATGCCAACTTTACCCAGACGCCTCTAGCCTGAAGTGGAGAACACTGCCCTTGTCCTGGGGGTGTCTCCAGGCCCAGGAGGGCGCTGGACGCACATGAAGGAAAGCAACATACTCATAAACGTGTTTCGAGAGCAGCTTACTGAGGGCTTGGATGATACACCATGAAAACCATGTCAGCAGCTCCTCAGCCTTAAAAGCTAGAGTCTGATCAGAAAGAGAAGCCTGCTGGGTGAGATGAGCACAGTAAACCTAGTGGTTTCATGTGGAAACCACTGGCTGGGAGCCAGGGGCCCTGTGTGTTGGGAGCAAGCACTGAGGTGCTTTGGTGAATCACTGGGTATCCTTCAAGTGACTGAAGATGCCGCCAACCACCCCTGCCTCAGGTCAGGACCACATCTTACGCGCCTGCCAGCTTCTGGGTGTTGTCTGAGGGAAAGGTAAATGTGATCCAGGCGCGTGAGGTGTGTTGGGAGCAGTGGGGCTGGGAGGGTCTGGGGTTGATCTTCCCAAGCTCAGTGTTGGCGAGCTGTGGCTCAGGAAGGAGGTGGTGAGCAGCGGGGCTGACCATGGCAGGGTAGGCGAAGGACCCGGGAGTTGGGGCCAGTAACCTGCAGGACGATCTGATGGAGTTGTCTGTCTTTTTGCCTTTCCTGGTGTCCTGGTTTCCTGGACCCTCTTAGCCTGGGGGCCAGACAGGACCTTCCAGAATTCTGTGGTATTGTTGACTGTGAGCCCCAGATGGCAGATATGGGTGACTGAGGTTACCTGCTCCAGGACAGCATGCTTTGATGGACACACGGCTGGCTGATAATGGCCTTGTGACAGGATGCATGCGTGGTGGTGCTGGGCCTGAGGAGCTGAGGCATGGGGCTGGCAGACAGAGTGCCTTGATATGGAGGGCCTTAAAGAGGGTCCTACTGGGGGCTGTGGGCCAAGGTCACTGTCTAGGAGAGCATGGGGCTCACATATATCCCACAGAAAGAGAATCTCAGCTCTGGTTATGTCTGGAGAAGGGGACAGGCTATGAGATATTATGTCCCAGTGAGGGTGGGAGGTCCTGACCCTGAGTGAGGGCCACAGACAGGCCCATTTCCTTTCACTCTTAATAGAGCTAGAGGTCTCCAGAATTAACCAGCCCTGGGCATGAAGCAGTGGACCCTGGATCTTGCCCCCTGCTGTGAGATCTATTCTAGATCCTGGGCTCTAGATCCTTGGAAGCTGCGAGGAATGTTCCTGTTGCTCCTTGATGGACATGTAAAAGATGGAACTGGCTTTGTGCCCAAGGTCTGTTCACATGCCTGGAGCCACTGGCATGTTGCTAAGTCTTCAGGAGGTTGGTGGGGGGCTCCCAGTGTGGAGATCTGATGCTCCAGGAGGGGAGGGGTTACTTGGATGACCTTGGGATTCAGAGGCTACTGTTCCTTCCTGAGCCTCGGTGCTAACGGCACCCAGTCCACAGCGTGGAGCAGTGACACTCACATGGCTCCACTTCTGCACAGAGATGATACACAGGAAGCCCCCCAAGTGGTGAAGGGTGGTGGCTGGGCAAGGTGAGCCCTGAGAAACAGGAAGGGGTGTTCTTCAAAGGAATCTGGTGCTAGGGTCAGAAGCCCTCAGCCACCACATGTTAGGAGGGCTTCATTCATTTCTGCCAAATGAGATTCCCATGGTTATAGCAGAAGAAAATTTCTCAGATTTTCAGAACCTTCTATTTTAACATAATGTAAGATTCAGCAAAAAGCTGCAAGAGTAGTTGAAAGAATACTTTGTTCTAAGCCATTTGATTCCATCTCCTGACTCCTCATCCTGAATTTAGTATGTGTTTTCTCTTATTAAGGACTTTCTCCTACATAACCACAATGAAACCTTCAAAATGAAGAAATTAATGTTGACATGACACTACCATTGAACCCACAGATTCTCATTCAAGTTTTATTAGTTTTATCAACAGTGCCCTTTATAACAAAAGGATCCAATTAAGGATCATGTGTTGTTAGTCATTTCCATTTCTTTTAGTCTCCATCCCCCTGGGAGAATTCCTCAGTCTGACTTTTATAACCATGTCACCTCGAGACTTTGGGGAGTCCAGGCCAGTTGTCCTGTAGGATGTCCCCCTGTTCATATTTGCCCGCTGTTTCCTCTTGACTGGGCTTCCCTGATAGCTCAGTTGGTAAAAAAAACCCACCTGCAATGCAGGAGATCACAGTTCGATTCCTGGGTCAGGAAAATCCATTGGAGAAGGGATAAGCTACCCACTCTAGTATTCTTGGACTTCCCTTGTGGCTCAACTGGTAAAGAATCCACCTGCAATTAGATTTAATTGTTCATCTTTGGCAGGAATAGAACACCGCAATACTGTGCTACTCCCATCATGTCCTAGAGTGGTGTGATTTTGATTTGTTTCATTTCTGTGTGATTACCCTGGATCATTTGATCACCTGGCATTTGCTGGGTTTCTCCACCAATCATGCATCCATTCCCCTTTCTAATAAGTAAGGATTTGGGGAAAGGGGGAAGGTGCTTTGTGACTCTAAATACTTTGTTCCATATCTAATGTTTATCCAGCAGGTTTAACACTCACTATTATTTCTTGGTTGGATTGTTGCTTTGATGCTTGCTAAATGGTGATATCTTAAATCAATTGTTAATTTTTTTCTGCATTAATCATCGGGCATTCTGTTATAAGGAAAAGTGTCCTCCTGTCGTATTTATTCATTTATTTCTATATGGGTTGATATATTCCTATTTTACTCAAAGGTTTAGTCTGTTACCATCATTATTTATTTTCATGTTTAAATTGTCCCAGATTTAGCCTGTGGAAACGCTTGATAGCAAAACATGTCAAAAGGTTTTTGTGTCCTTTTGGCATATTTCTATAGTTCTTTGAATATTTCCTTGTTTTCTGGCACAAAAAAAGATGTTCCTGGGTCATCTACTTTCTCTGGCCTAAATTCCTAATTTCTCTGGAATTCGTTACTGCTCCGAAGAGCCCAAATTGCCTTTGGATGAAGTGTAGAAAAACACAGCTTCCCAGGCCCACCCCAGACCTGAATTGGAGTCTCGGGGAGATGGGCGTGGCTGGGGGCGGGTCTGGTTATCTGGGGCCGCCTGAGCGGCTGTTCTTTATGTCGCTAGAGCTTGGGGCTGGGGACGCGCTGGGCTCAAGTGGCGACACCTGGTGGTGATTCAGGAAGCTGCACGGCCGTTAGGACGGTGCCTTGGATCTGGGACTTAAGGGTCTCACGGCCTTGCTGGGTATCCTACTAGGTCTCCTGGGATGGCAAACTGGGTCCAGCCTCCTTCCTCAGTGCTCTGAGCACCCTTCCTCACCCACCACACACACCCCCGCCCTGCCCTCCCTTAGCCTGGCTGCCCAAGTCCAGGCCCCCCCCTAAAGGGTTCAAGCTCCAGAGCTGGATACACCCAGGACTGTGAGCACCTTCCATCTCAGGACCAAGATTCGCTCTGAGGGTTTCCAGACATCCCTAACATTACTCAGCAGAGATAGCTGCCTAGTGAATTACACTGAGTTGCTCAGAAGATATTATGTATCATTAACAGTTATGTTTATAAAGGGTTTATCAAAATTTGGGGAAATGCTTATTGTCTCATATGAAGTAAAAGAAAAATATTCGATGTATAGCAGAGCTGAACATTATTCATTTGAAAAGATTGGAGAGAATTATATCAAAATGTGAATAATGGTGGGATTATGCAATTTATTTTCTTATATATATATATTTTAAAGTTTTTTGTAATTTCTGAAACTTTCATGCTTTGGGGTTTTTCTTACTTTGATGGATTAAAAGGCTGCCCCAGGAGGCCTGCTGGACCAGGGAAGGCTTGGTCAGGCCTCCATTGGCCTGGGAGCAGCAAGGTTGGAGAGCCTGTCGTGGCGGTACCTTTCCTTCAGGCCCTTTGAAGGGTGTAGGTCTGCTGGTGGGCTTGGATGGGGTGGGAGCCCAAGGCAGCCTTCCCCTGTCCATGTGAATGGCGTGATGGGTCACTCCCCACCTCGCTGGTCAAAGCCAGAGCATCTGGGGGTTGCTTCTGGGAGGAAAGAGGGCCTCATCCTTTCAGTGCTATCTGGGGCCTGAGCAGAGAGAGGCTGAGCTGTCTGTGGAGAAACAAGGGAAGACCCTTAACTGAGCAGAGTGGCCAAGGGAGCTTTTTTTCTGAAGATGGGCCTAAGCTGAGAGTTGAAAAATCCTGCAGGTGAAGTTCAATCGCTGATTCATTTATAGAAGCTTGCTAGGCATTCAGTTCACTAATTTAATCCTCATTTGACCCTATGCCGAGAGTGCTATTGCCGTCACTACCCCCATTTTACAGATGAGGAAACTGAGGCTCAGAGACGTTTCAGATCTTGCCAACGTCAACCAGCTTCTGAGTGGTGGAACCTGATTCCAGATTCAGTGCTCCTAACCACATGACTATGTTGATGGGCCCCTGGGGGTGGCTTTGCCGCTGCCTCTTGCAAACCAGACTGCATTCCTGGTTTGGAGGAAAGGAACAGGGATAAAGGAACAGGAAGGATGCTGGAGGGTGGTGGTCGGAGGCCAACACATTAACCTGCTGCCCTCTCACCTCCATCTGTTCCAGGCCTCGCTGGTCCTGCAGGTGTCATACACGCCACTGCCTGGAGCCATGCCCACCTTTCCACCCTTAACGCCTCTGGAACCCTCCCCGACTCTGCCTGACATGGATATGGTGGCAGGTGAGGAGCCCACCCTCACCCTGGCAGGGCTGGGAGAATAAGCCTAGTGGTGGCACCTGAACCTGGGAAGAGGGTGCCTTCCTAGATTGGGGGCTGCCCAGGCCTGGCGAAGGGAGGCCGTGGGTGGGTGGGGAGTCTGGAGAACTGACTTCTGTCTTACAAAATAAAGGAGCAGGAGGCATGCCCCTAGGTGCCACTAGGATTAGCATGAGGACGTCCTCCCAGCGCCGGCTGTTCAGGGAAGGTGTTGTGTGGGTGCTGGGTACCCGGCGCTCTGCAGCTCCAGAGAGGTGGGAATTTTAGAGGCCAGGCCTGTGTTGGGGAGGGGGTCTATCCTAGGAGATGCCTGAGCCCCACCCACTCCCCAGAGCCGTGTGCCTCCCCGCCCAGCACTCTGCAGGCCTTTAGCAAGGACATGTGACAGAAGAGTTGGACTTTCCCTGAGAGTCCTGAGCTGAAGTCAGGGGATGAGTTCCCGTCTTGCCTTGACACCAAGTAGCTGTGTGACTTCGGGCCAGTCACTCCCTCTCAGGGCCTACAGTTTATTATTTGTGAAAAGTGAGCAGACTGAATTGGCTAAGTCTCAAGGTTGCCCTTGACTTCTCTTGTGAAGTGAGGACCTAGCCCAGGGTGGCTGGCTTGTCAGTGGGGGGCAGGGGGGGCCTGGCAGTTCAGCCTGCTGGAGTGAATGGGAGGCACACAGATGGGCCGGGGGGTGGGGTGGGGGGTGGTCTTGCCCCTGGGAAAGATTCCAGCATTTCTCCCTCGGTGAAGGGAGCCCATCCGGGTGCGCCCTGAGCTTGTCCCGGGGCCCGTGTGGGGCTCCTGGTGGGGGAGGCAGAGCGGGGCCCCTCTTGTAGGGCTTGGCACTGTCTGAGCTCAGAGGTCAGATCCCTCCAGACTGGGGCTGAGAGAGGAAGAAGGGGGTGCTCCTGGTGACTGAGAGTGGAGAGGCCGAGGGTCCCAAATGTTCTGGGACCACTTTTGAGGTGGATCTGGCAAAGTTAGGCTCTGGCCACTCAGTCCTGCCCCGAAGGTGGCGAGAAGTCGGTCCNGAAAAGCACGCCTGCACCCAGAAAGCTGCTGTCGGACAAACCGCAGGACTTCCAGGTGACCGAGGCCTCCTTCAGCCAGAGGCAGCCTCTGAGGCATAAGACCTGTCTGTGTAGCCGTGGGGCAGGTCCTAAGGTGGGAGTCTCCCCTGGGTCCTGGGCATGTGCTCGATGGGGAGGCCATGCCCTGGGGCCTCTAGAAAAAGCCTCTGCCCAGCCCCTGGTTTTACTCTTAAAACAAGGGCGGGCGTTCGCTGCAGAGCGCCATCACCACAGCTGTTACCTGTTTTCCCAGCCAGACGTCCCCTAGCCAGTGGTCAGGCTCCTCTGTCCATGGGATTTCCCAGGCAAGAATACTGGCTGGGAATACTTGTTCAAAGTGACGAACAGCATGGGTGTCACCTGGGAGCATGACTCATCATGACCCATTGCCTCAATCTGCATTCAAACAAGACCCCCAAATCTAAGAAGCTCTGCCTGTCTTTTTTTCTCTATCCATTCCCCCTGTTAATAGTCATGATTTTTCTGAAGGTCATGTGCAGCTTGAATTTGTTCAAGCTCATCACAGAATAAAACTATGAAAATTAACCCTTTGACTTATTTTTATCCAAAAATCTATCTCATTTAATTTGGGTCCTTTTCTTGTTCTTTTTCTTTTCTACAGAATTTTCCATTTTGCTGTAATTGCATTAAGTGATATCTAACTTCAGAACTGCTTTAAAAATTAAAAACAGGAAATGTCAATATTTATTTATTAAATGCAATGAATTATAAAAATATATTTCAGTTCCAAATTGTGCTAATTTCAGAAAAGTTTTAGTTATAACCCACAATGTCTGCCTGCTTCCCTGACGGCTCAGACGATGAATCTGCCTGCAGTGCAGGAGATCCTGATTCAATCCCGGGTCAGGAAGGTACCCCGGAGAAGGAAATGGCAGCCCACTCCAGTATTCTTGCCTGGGAAATCCCATGGACAGAGGAGCCTGGTGGACTATAGTCCATGGGGTCACAAAGAGTTGAACACTACTGAGTGACTAATACTTTCACTTTCATGATTGCCTGAGAGACGAAATTATAATTTATTATTATCCACATGTTATTGTTTTCTCCTTAAAACAAACAAACAAACAAAAAAAAAAACTTTTGGGACTTCCCTGGTGGTCCAGTACCTAAGACTCCCAATGCAGAGGGCCCAAGTTCGATCCCTGGTCAGGAAACTAGATCCCACATGCAGCAATTAAGACCCAGTGAAGCCAAATAAGTGATAAATAAATGAAAAAAATATTTTTTTGGTAGAAAATTTGGAAAATACAATGAAGAGAATAAAAATCGCTCACTCCCTCTTCCCATTGCCATTGATAATATATCCTATAGCAGCTTATTTTTAAAATAAATAATTTCTGGTTAGAAATTAGAACCAGCAAACACTGTATTTTTTCATGAAAGCTTTAATACTTTAAAACGTAATATTCTTAAATCTTTTGTGTAACTTTGGGAGCACAGATGTTCTTGAAACCCTCATTTACCAAAGTTCAATGAAGAAAACTCACTTCTAAGAATGTCAGACATTCTTATGCGGACATTCTTGCATCTTATACTATATAAGAGTGAAGTGGGGTTGCATCACTATGTAGCTCTGACCTCTAAGGGAATTGTCAGTGAGGAGTATTCAAGTCACCCAAAAACATCAGTATCGAGGGGTCTGAGATGGGATGCTTGTGCAGGAACTGAACAGGGACTGGATTCTCGGGCCAGCCCCGGAATTTACTGCTGGCAGCTTACTTGGGGCAGCCTGGCAGCTCTTATGTGTCACCATGGGATATTATAGATGCCAAGGACCTTGGTGGGAAAATGCTGTTCTTACAATGTTCTTCCTAGTTCCTTTTTAATACCTGTCCCAGGAGGCTGGCTGTGAGGGTGGTCCCTGAGATCGCTGACTCTCACGTGGGGGTGGGGTGCGTGCCTGACTTCTTCCTCTCACAGCCTCTCCTGGCTTTCAGATCAGGGTCCAGGTGATCGAGGGACGCCAGCTGCCAGGGGTGAGCATCAAGCCTGTGGTCAAGGTCACCGCTGCTGGGCAGACCAAGCGGACGCGGATCCACAAAGGAAACAGCCCCTCCTTCAACGAGGTGGGAGCCCCTGGCTTAGGGCTAGCGCCTTGGTGGGAGCGCGCAGCAGATGCCTGGCAATTCACTCAGCTTTTGCCTATGGCCCTAGCATTGGGTGGAGAGCAGTGCCCGGTCCTGAGGAGGTTATCTGAGGAACTCGAGAGAGGGCTCCCCCTGCTCCACAACCCCACCATCCGTGGGGCCGGCCGCCCTGTCCTTGAGATGACCACTTCCGTGAGGTTGAATTCCCAGAGCATGGTGCTGGGCTGAGCCCACTGTGTCCTCGCTGCGTGGACCAGGCCTGGAGGCTGGGCGGTGGCCGTCCCCTCCCGGCCTGGGCTCAGCGGGCCTGCATCTGTCCCCCTCTCGCCCCGAACCAACAGACTCTCTTCTTCAATGTGTTTGACTCTCCCGCGGAGCTGTTCAATGAGCCCATCTTCATCACGGTACGTGCCAGCCATCAGGGGCTCTGTGTGCGTGTGTGTGTATGTGTGTGTGTGTGTGTGTGTGAGACGCTTAGAAGCCAAGCCTGGGTGACAGGGAGCAGCTCACAGCCTCGCCCTCCCCCCCTCCCATTCCGCCTGGCACAAAGATGCCTTCAGGGCTTGGATGCAGGCGCCAGCAGAGTGGGGAGACCCTGAGGCCGCCCAGCTTCCCCAGGTACCAGACTCATTCGCGCTGTGGTCCTTTGATTTTTATCTTATTTTGTTTGTCTATATGTCTGTTTCTGGCCAAGATTTTGTTTCACTGGACCTTAGTCTTTCCATCACCCCTGCTTCCTCTGAAAGGCAGTATAGTTGAGTGGTTAGAAGTGTGGGCTCTGGAGGCAAACTGTCTGGCCTCTAGTCCTGCCTATACCGTGGAGAGGATGTGTGATTCTGTACAAGTGGTCTCTCTGTGCCTCTTTCTTCATCTGGAGAATGGGAATGATAATAGTACCTACTTGCGGGGTTCTCTTGAGGGTTAAGCATTGCTTGGAATAATCTCTGGGATAGAGCCAGTGCTGTCAAGAGTGTGGGCTATTATTATTTGGGAAGGAGGAACAGCTGGGCTGGGACCTGTCTGGGCCAACGTTTACTTGTGGACCAGAGTTTTAGTTTGTCTTTCCTTTCAGGTGGTGGACTCCCGTTCCCTCAGAACAGATGCTCTCATCGGGGAGTTCCGGGTAAATGCTTTATTCTCTTTGAAAGCAATCAGTTCTCATTTATCCACATTAGAGGAAACTCTGTGGATGATGGGCAGGATTGGTGCTCAGAGACCTATCCGTCTTGGTCTGTGTTGGGAAAAATATGATGATGAGGACCAAACAAGATCTTCTCCTAACCCAGAAATCCTCTTCACAAAGGTAGTAGAGAAAGAGAGCACTTCTGTTACTGAATAAGCATTAAACCAATACAGTGGTATTATGGGCCATCTGATAGGAGATTGCAAAGACAGAAAGAAATCTTTTATAGAGCCAAGCAGACACAACCCATTCCACACATATTCTTGAGATGAACAACAAACAATTACTAATGCCCAAGTTAGTGGCCAGGATAGCACCTTCAGTACACATAGTCCATCCTAAGTTTACCTGGTAATTGAGGTGACCATCACAAGAAAAATCAGAAAACAAACTTGCATTTTTATCATGGGAGGTAGTTTTACAATTTGGTTAAGGTAGCCCCTTCCCTTGCAGGAGATTGGAGAGCCTGGGGAAAGGCACTCCTGGGTCCTAAAGCTGAGGAACGACTTATCTGGCTTCTAAAAAGATACATTTCAAAGAGTCAGGGAAAGTACTTACATTGACAAGTTTTCTAAGGAAAACATTTGGACAAAAAGAGAGGAGAGGCAAATCGCCCCCCTTCTCTCCAACAGGGGGACTTCAGCTTCTTATGTTTAATTCACATTTGTCTTTACATCTTGGGAAGACAGTGTGGGACCTGAGTTTAGGCAGTTCTCTTCCTCATTCTGACCATCTCCAGCCAGCATGACTCCAGTGCTCAGTACCCTGAGCTCACCTGGGTTGTGGAGTGCGTCCGGATGTGGGAGTGGTCCAGGGGGTGGGATGGGATGATCCTGCCCCTTCATTCGTCGCAGACACGCAGAAATGAACAGTCCACCGAAGAGGACCTTGAACTGATAGCATAGGATGTGTTTAACAGGTTAGCGTAAAGGCAACTGGTACTGGAGATCTTTCACAAATGGTGTTTTAATGTCATTCTTATTGATTTTCTCAGTTTTGAATCTTCAAGAATTTATCAAATGGAAAGAAAGGGCACAGGTTTATTTGATCCTCCTTCTGCTTTCCAAATAAAATATGGTCCCTTCTCCGAGAAGCAGTCACAGATAGAAAATGGAATCTGTTTTTCTGGAGAAGCAGTATTTTTTTTTTCTTTTTATAAAAATGGATTGAACTTGAGTCATTCTATAATAAGTGGGGTCTTATGTCTTGAGTCTCTAATCTTATTGTAAGAACCCAAGGGTTAGGTTAAAAAAGGATTTTTTTTCCTAATTATAAAAATAATCCATGATTTTAAAAAACTTCGTAGTTTCTGAGAGCAATTTTAGGTTCATAGCAAAATTGAGTGGAAAGTACAGAGTTCTCACATACCCCCTGCCCCTACACATGCATAACTTCCCCTACCATCACATCAAAATCTCTAGGTTTTTTTTTATAGAAAATTATAAAATATAGGAAAAAATAAAAATCACCCACATCTACCACCCAGAGGTGGTACAGTTACCATTCAGTATATTTCCTTTGCTCTGTCTTTTCTATTCATAGATATACTTCACCAAACTTCGATCAAAATATATTCCACCTTTTCCCCATGTAATAACAGGTGACCAACATTTTCTCATGTCTCCAGATGTTCTTGAAAACATGATTTTTAGCACATCAGATTTTTAATTTTCATGCATCATACTATATTTAACACTCTGCTGGCAGGACTGTGACCTGTGCCTTTCCGTTTGGTTTCAGATGGACGTGGGCAGCATCTACCGAGAGCCCCGTGAGTCGCCCTGTCATCCTCTTGGGCAGGTCTTTGCATTTGGGTTCCGGCTGCATGGGGTCACCCACTTGGGACACTCATCTTTTCTTCTTGGGGATTTTAGACTTTAGAGGTGGAGTCGGATCTTGGAGGTGAGGCTGCAGGAATAAAGAGAGGGCAGTTTTCATTTTCTGCATAAAACAGGCCCCCAGGAATATCAAACCCTTACAAGGGTCTCAGCTGGCCCAGCTGGGGTGCTAAACTGGAAGCCCTAAGCAAAGATTGCTGGAGGCTGGGGTCCCTCCAGATGGGATGGGTCATTTGGACGACAAGTCTAGGATTTCTCCACACCTTGGTCTCTGGTCTGGTCTGGTCCCTTCCTGAAGGGGAGGAAAATGGCCTGGTATCTGGCTTTGGCAGCCTCTGATAGCGGTTTCTGTTGACATTTCTGATTTGGACATGAATGAACACTCAAAATACCTTTTATCTTAGAACTGGAGTCCTTTCCCCATGTCTGGGTAGATGAGCTCTTCATCACCCCCAGTGGAGTCCACCCCGGGCTCTCCGGGGTGGTTGCAGACCTGGATCCTTCCAATTTTGGGATCACCAAGGGTGTTGTTCCCTTAGGACACGCCTACCTCAGGAAGTGGCTGCTGCTCTCAGATCCTGACGATTTCTCTGCTGGGGCCAGAGGCTACCTGAAGGCGAGTCTCTGTGTGTTGGGGCCTGGAGACGAAGCCCCCGTGAGTACATTCCTTGTCCTTCTCATAAGCACTGCCATCAGGCCATGGGGGCACCAAATGAACAAACAAAAAGCTTTAGCTTTGCTGATTTAAAAGAATACATGGCAATTGTGAGAAATGTAGAACATGTGGGAGAGCATAAATGTGAAATGAGTCACTCATAATTCTGCCTATCAGAGAGAACCATCGTTAATACTTTTGTGCATATTCTCCCATCTGAATACACTGTATATCTATTCTTTTTCAGATTCTTTTCCTTATAGATTATAAGGATTGAGTAGAGTTCCCTGTGCTGGACAGTACGTTGTTGTTGTTTATATATAATAGTGTGTTAATCCCAAATTCTTAATTTATGCCCAGCCACATTTTGGTAACCATAAATTTGCTTCCTAGGTTTGGAAGTCTATTTTTATTTTGTAAATAACTTCATGTGTATCATTTATTTAGATTCCACATATAAGCAATATATGATGTTTGTTTCTCTGACTTACTGTACTCAGTATGACAATCTCTGGGTCCGTCCTTGTTGCTGCAAATGACATTATTTCATTTTTTTTTTAATGGATGAGTAATATTCCAGTGTACATACACACACACGCACACACACACACACACACACATCAGGGGAGGGCTGGGGAGGTGGAGTCCCTGGGGAAAGCCGCATGTGATGGGGAGGTGGAGGGCAAGGTTGAAGAGCTGGCTGACGATGAAGGCTCAGGAAGCCCCGGTGGAAGGCATTAGGGCAGGGAGCACCCCGGGGTGCTCAGGCGGACCAGTCCCTCCCCAGGGCACCTCCCCTGCTCTCATTCCCTGTTCCTCTGCAGCTCGTCTCTCCAGATGCTGTGCCTTCCTGGGCATCTCTGAATCTGCTATCCTTTCCTGAAACGCTCCTTCCTCCTGTCCCCATTCATCGGACCCTGGTTTTTCCCAGGTGAAACCACTTTTCTTGAGACCAGCTCAGAAGGAAGCCTGTGTTTTCGGCTCCAGCTTGCCATGGTCTTTGGAACGGGAAGCGTGGCCATCTTTTGGTTTCCCACGGCAGCTTCCCAACTTTAGCACTGCTTTCTTCTTTGAAGCCTGCCTCTCTGGTTATTTCCCTCCTCCTGGTCTCCTGGGCTGTTACCTATCCCTGGTGCAGGAGGGTCCTTGCTGGCAGGTTTCCCTGTTTGCCATTGTTCTGAGACCATTGTGTCCTCCCTGATGAGTCATCAACATCTGATCTTACTTTCCTTAAGCCCTTGAGCTCAGAAATCCCTCTCACCGGCAGTTTCTTTCTGCCTCCTTCCCTCCCTCACCCTCAGTGAATGGTTGTTCTTCCTCACTGAGGTTACAGCCCTGACCCCTGTCTGTTTCCCAGCCCATCAACTGCCTCCTGCAGCCTGGTCCCCGTCTCCCATCCTCTCTCTTGCTTGGTGCTCGCTAGCCCCTGGGGTTTGCTGCTGTCTCTCCGTGTACCCCACCCTCCCCGTGACATACTGTCCACACCACCCTTTGGTCAGCTTTGGTGGCAGAAGTCACCTGGAGGTGCTGTCAACTTCTTCTTTTACTTGTGTCATGTGCGCTTCTTATCCCATTCTCCATGGTGGCTGTTTCCTGACTTTCCGGTCTTCCCTAAGCTCCGGCCTCTGCTCCCCTTAGAGAGGCAGAGCTGCACAGTGGCAGTGCGTGGAGGCTGAAGTTCCTCTCCCCTCCCTCTCCCACTCCCCACCTCCCTTGTGTGTGCTTGAGCCCCGCCTGCTTTCTTGTTCAATCTGTTCTGCCTCTCCTCTGGCTCCTGTCTTCTGGTCTATGCCACACTCCGGATTTCCTGATCTCAGAATACACTTGCTTTTACCCCGCCTGTCCAAGCTGTTTTCATCATCCTTTCAGCCATCCTCAAGGTCACCTAACTCTTGAGAGGACCCCACGTCCCTTTTCTCCAGTCCTTCCCCAGCTGCTCACTCCTTCATTGCTTCATTGTGCCTCCCATCACCTCCTTCCCTGAACCACCTGCCTAAGCCTCACCCATTGCCAAGTCCCGGGAGCTCTTCTCTCATTAATCTGATCTGCTGCTCCAGTGTTTGATTCCAGGGCCGTGTCTTACCTGAAACTCCCTCCTCCTTGAGCATCTATGACTCCCTTCATTCTTTTCCTTTTTTTTTTTTTAATGGATTCTTCAAATTCAGCAACTCAATAGGATTTCACTGCCTGCCTCTCTGCTGTGCCTTTGACATGACATTCGAGGCCCATGAACGTCTGGCCTCAGTCAGATTTTGCAGCGTATCTGTCTCTCTGTGGAGGAGCCCGTCTCTGTCCACCTGGCTCCTAAATCGCTCATCTCCAGCCTGGATCCTCGCAGCTCCAGATGCTCAGTCCGTTTCCTGTAACAAAGCACATGAACACGTCCCTTTGGCCCCTCTAACTTCACCTATGGGAACCCAGTATCATTTGGTGACCACTCCTCAAACCTGTTCCCCATCCTACGTTAGGTGATATCTTGGGAAATGGCACTCGTCCCCTTGGTCCCCCAGGTCAGAGGCCTGAACATCCTTCCTCATCCCTCAGTCCAAACCTGGCAGTCAACACGCATACAGTTGGCCAGTCTTGTTGGTGTGACGACCACAGTGCATGTTTCTCCTCTTTCCCATCCCAAGGCCAGAGACCAAGGTCAGACTCTCATCGAATCTTATCTGGGCCTTCCTGTGAGTGAAGATGTGGTTCAGCTGCTGTGAATCTAGTTAGCCCCCACATTACCACCAAAATCACCTTCTTTAAACCCAGGCACAATCACATGATGGGCTTCCCAGGTGGCACGACTGGTAAAGAACCTACCTGCCAATGCAGGAGACTTAAGAGACGCAGGTTCGATCCCTAGGTTGGGAAGATCCCCTTGAGGAGGGCATGGCACCCCACTCCAGTATTCTTGCCTGGAGAATCCCATGGACAGAGGAGCTTGGTGGGCTATGGTCCATGGAGTCACAGAGCTGGATACAACTGAAGTGACTTAGCATGCATGCGTGCACAAATCACGTGAGTCTCCTCTTAAAAAAACTTCCAGTGACCCACCCTGCCTGCCAGTTACTTTCAGGATGAAGTCCAGAAGCCTCAGCATCACATTCAAGGCCATTAGCATTTGGCCTCAGGCTGATTTTGCAGTGCCACTTGTTGGTGTCTACCTGCATGGACTCCGTGTGTGGCCACGCCAGTCAGTGTGACCCTTTCCAGAATGTGCTTCTGTCCTTGTCTTTCTACCTGTCGGAAGGCCTTCTCTGTCTCTGCTGACCAAAAGTCAGTTTGTTCTTCAAGACCCAGTCCAGATGCCACTTCCTCCACGACGCCTGCCTTGTCCTCCAGGGAAATTGATGGGTCTTTCCTTTTGGTCACCACCCCATGTTTTGTTAGTTTAGTTAGTTGTTGTGTCCATCTCTGTCGCTGAGACTCAGTTTCTTAAGGTCAGGGACAATATAGTAAATATGAACCCTTTTATCTTTTCTCTTGTCTAGTACAGGTCTTGTATACAACAGGTGCTCAATCAGTGATTGTGGCCTCTGGGAACGAACAGTGTTATGGATGACTGAAAGCGGAGGAGGTGATCATCTTCTTCAGATGTGAGCTGAAGAAAGTCAGTGTAGAGCTGTTAATAGCCC